ATTCCATCGCACCTAATCCTACTGACACTGCATCGCATATCTTGGGGTGATAGAACATCGGATAGGCCCATCCGATACAAATATCTTGGCAGTGACTGTAATAAGTACTCAACTACAAGTTGACCAAGGGTTTTCACAGTAACCACAAGTTGACCAAGGGTTATCCCAGTAACCACAAGTTGACCAAGGGTTTTCCAAGCAACCACAAGTAGGCCCTTAGCCTAATAGTGAGGGACAGGCCTGAGAATGGGATATAGAAACTCTCCCTTCAGGCCAGGAGATGGTCCATCCCCTCAACCTTTTACCAACATACCTAACAGCACAATAAACACAACATTGAGGATACTTGAAAATAAGTCATCTGCTCAATAGTGCACAGTGCTAGAGGTATTAGTATAAGGGGTTCAACCATAGGCTGGTAGACCTTGTTCATTGACACCCTTGTCTGTGAGTACTCACAAGGGTTAGAGCTAAAGAATCACTCAAGAAGGTAAAGAGCTTCCTGGCTTGTAAAAGTTGGATCAGAGTGGAGTGTTACTAGAGCCTAACTGTAACTCTGATCCCTGAGTGAAGATTACCAAATCCCAGAACCAATCTTCCAAATCCTCATCATTGAGGTCAATTAGCTGTAGTCAGTACTTGGAGAATTCCCAGTACTACCAACACCTGTTATTTGAAAGGGATCCTCAGTCCCCTTTCTCTTTCAACCTTGATTCTGTTAAGTAGCTATCTAGGAGCTACCCCTAACATCAAGGCAGCCAAGCAAAGGCTTTACCTGGAAGGATTAAGTCCTTGACTCTTCCTTCCCTGATTTCTAGCCAGGTGGGAGCCTTACAGAAGCCACCCCCTGACAGAAGTCATAAGAGTTGGACTCTATTGCAACCTCTAATCTTCTACAAGGCTCTATTCAAAGAGCCCTTCAAAAACATTGAGAAGGAAGCTTATCCAAAGGCCCCTTCAAAAAATAGTTCTCTTGTCTCAAACCCTCTTTCTGGAAGTCATTTAACTGAAGTCTGTACTTGTTTATCACAATACAGACTCATTCAGACACCTGTCTCAACTTGGCATAGTGAAGAGAAGGGCCTAAAAGAAGCCTTCCCCTCACTGTCAGGGAGTGGCTTCTATCAGGCTACTGCCTGGCTAGAAATATAGTCTACACTGGTGGCTCCCAAGTGTAGACTGCAGTTAAATGACCTCTTAGGAGAGGATTTAGGAAGACTGGGTCTCTAAGCCCTGATGCTAGGTATCTAAAGGAGAGCACAGCTGAGCACAGCAACTGTTTAGCTCCAATCCTTTGAGACAGGGTGCTCTGATTCCTGTCTGGGTGATTTATCTCTAATCCTTGTTAGTCCTCACTGACAAGGACTCTGCAAGACTCTAGGGTTACCAACCTGGATGATCACCTTCTAGATTTACTCACACCTGGGACCCTTGGCATCATTGAGCAGATGACTTAATATAAGTATCCTCAAAGTGTGCTAGTTGGGTGTTATCAGGTGGTTGTGGTAAAAGGTTAGGGGAGGGAACAACTCCTGGGCAGGAGAGAAGGGGTTTATATACCTTTTCAGGTTACCTCCACCATACTTTTAGAATATGGGCTGACTTGCATTCCAGCTCATGCTACTACAGGGCCATGTGGCCAACCTGTGGTTGGTTACTCTACTGACAGGACCTGCTATTTGGCTCCTGTCATAAGTATTTTATGCTTATGACTCTTGAGACTGAGCCTGAGATGTGATTCAATTGTTACACTTGCTTATCACATGTATAGTGCATATGTTATGCTTTGTTTCTCCATATGTTCATTATTTATTACACTTATAACCCTATTACATATGTAATACATATGTCACATTATGTCTCTACATATGTACAGGTCTCAATTCAATCTTTGGGATTATTACTCAGTCCTTAGGGCTGAAGGTACAAGTGTAATACTGTAGTACATATGTTACTTTATATCCCTACATATGTACTTACCTGTTACACATGTACTTCACTTCTTACATGTGTGATTTCATATGTCACACTATGTTTAATACATGTATTTCTTCATTTAATATATGTGATTACCTTTTGACAGCCTATGGGATTGATGATCAGGCCTCATAGCTGACACTCACACACCATCACCCAACATATCTGGTTGGTATATGTTTTGTCCAACTTTTGCCAAAGGCTCAAGCCATATATCACTGCCAAGATATTTGTATCGGATGGGCCTATCCGATGTTCTATCACCCCAAGATATGCGATGCAGTGTCAGTAGGATTAGGTGCGATGGAATTACTATCGGTATCTAATGCTCTGACACCATATTGCAGTGTAATTCCATCGCACCTAATCCTACTGACACTGCATCGCATATCTCGGGGTGATAGAACATCAGATAGGCCCATCCGATACAAATATCTTGGCAGTGTGTGGTATAGAACATATCACCATTGCTGCAACCAAACTGAGTGCAAATTTATAGATGGTGCAGCCATTTTATTTCTTACTCTTGAAACTGATCTCCTTCCTGAATTGAACAAGAGAATGAAATGCATGAAACACGTTTCAGGATGTGATACAGGTCGCATGACAATCAAAGATGTGATTCCAAACACGTTTACAAGGAGTCATAAACATATTATGGACTTCCTCGTCATCCGCCCGGCTAGCTCAGTCGGTAGAGCATTCGACTCTTATGAGCTCATGTTGGCTTGCCATCCTTGCCATCGAATTGTCGTGGGTTCGAGCCCCACGTTGGGCGCAGTTTATTTTTGTTCTTCTTTTTATTCGTGGTCTGAAGATCGCTCGTTGGTGGCCCAAGTCCCCAAAAAATGTTTGACGCGTTTGGGGCTGCTCAAAATATATCACCAAGGGAATCATGCTCTATTCTTTTCAAGACTATCGCTCTTTCCAGCGGCAAGAAAAGGTAAAGATCGGTTTCTGTTGTCAAAGGATTGAATGCTTCAGTGTCAAAGTTTTGAATTGGATCCTCAGCTTTACTTTTCTTGACTGGACAAATCACCACGCGCTCGGTTTCTTCGATCGGGTTCATCGACCGTATTGTGCCGGGCCCACCTTTCACATATTCATGTGAAAGCTAGTATCTGTTGCAATGAGATTTCACATCCTCTGTGTGGCAGACTATGAGGGCGTATGGCAATTACTGATCGCCCTGACTCCTTCCATTAAGCTTTTCATCGCGTTTCTTTCTGGCTGCCTAAGGTCTGGATCCTGGAATAGGAAGATTTTATACCCACCCACTTGAAAAAACACGCATGTTATATACTAGAAAATGCTCGTTGCTCTGATCGGCCCCCCATCGGCAGGAAAGGACACAATTGCCAATTACTTAGTGGCTAGCCATTTCTTCACGCGTGTTAGGATAGTCTCCTCACGATCGCAATTGGAACATTCTCTTTCGAGATTGGGGAATGAGTTGCGATTTGTTGGGTTCGAAGATTTCTTGGACTACTCGACTAAAAATTGGCAACAAGATCTGGTGACGACCGATCTTGTATCGATCAGCGGGCTCGAAAAATTTCTCAAGCGGCCTTTCTTTGTCCTTGCCAACGTCACGGCTTCAGTTAGGTCCAGATGGAAGAGATTCTGGCAGCATCACTTGGACTTTGGAACATGCGAGTAAGCCGCAAAGCAGGTCAATAATTGTTGCCTTCTCTGAAGAGCACGGACGCGCCTGAGACATCTATCGGCGATTACATTTGTGCTGATCTCAATTTCGATGTACGGCAAAAAGGGTTGTTTCCTCAAGTCTCGACGACTTCCTCTTGCAAGACGAAGAGTACGAATATGGCTCATCGACAAGCAATCAATCAATCGATCAGGTCCAAATTGGTATAAATCGCTTAGGCCTTCCCGTCACCGTGTCCCAAAATCATCCACCCCATACGAAACTGCAGAAGATTTGTATCGGACCTGTTCGATCACCACTCAAGTCACTTTCCCCTTTTGCCACTTATACTATTACCAACAATGATTCTCGAGACGAACTCTTCAGCTCTATCGATACCATCCATCTCAAAAAGCTTCGGAGCAGCCTGAGACCAGAATGGGACGAGTATTTTATGACGTTAGCCAACTTGGCCAGCCTACGGAGCAATTGTATGAAACGTAGGGTTGGTGCCGTCTTGATCACCAAACGTGATAAACGGGTACTCAGCACAGGCTATAATGGGACTCCAAGAGGGATGAGTTGAGTGTGAATTTGTACTTTTGAAGGGAACTAAAACCCAATTCTTCGACCACTGACTTAGATTGGTGAATTTGGGTTGGACGCAATGTAGGGAATTGTAACGAGGGTGGCTGTGCAAGATGTAATGGCACGCTGGGCGTTTTGCCTGAAACCTCTGAAGCAGGTGGCCCTGAACCCATTGCGAGCACTGCAAAAACGGCAGCAGAAGTCGTCTCAAAATGCGGCGTCGACCTGAACGAATGTCTATGTCTACATGCAGAGGAGAATGCATTGCTAGAAGCAGGACGGGATCGGATGGGAGCAGGCGAGGGAAGCACTTTGTATTGTAACACGTAAGCTACCCCCTTGTTCACCAGTTATCTCATCTTTGGCTAAATGCGTGTTTTAATGGTTTGGTTAACTTGCCTTTGGCTCCAAAAAAAATGGTCACGGTCTTGAATACGATCCCTCACAAACAGATGTCCTTGTCTGCGCTGTAGTGTGAAAATTGTCCAATGTGGCATCAGAGAAGTTGTCTATTCCCTCAGCTACAGCATGGATATGGGCACAGCTGCGGTATTTGCTGAGGCTGGTGTTCAGCTTCGTCAGATCTCTCTTCCATGATGCCAATGTCACAGCCTGATTTTTTCTGACTTTTTGAGCATCTATATTACACAGAAAGTTTTTAAAGATGGCATCTATTTGGCATTTTAATATTTTTTTCCCTTGATTTTACTTTGATCCTCAGAGCAAAACCCTTTCTGCACACAGTCTGATTAGTCAGCATGGCTTGAATGGAGGCTGACTTTCCTGTCCATAGAGACTATCTCCATTTTGATGTCAGCAACTTGGATGCCCTACACCATGTGGTGGTGCTTGTGAAGAAATTTCATCAGTGCATACAAGGAAATAGTGAAACAAGGCCTTGGATACTTGCACCACTGATACTAGTGGAATATCTGACCCCTTGTTGGGCCAATTAAGGCACCTCTGGACTACCTGTTGAATTCTCCAGAGCAGTTGATAAACTGTACCTGTATGACTGCTCTGGACAGTGACTCCTTATGGTTGCAATGGTTTTTTCTGCCATTGTTGCCATCACAATTCATATTCCCTTCAAAATCATCCAAGTCCTCATTTACCTATGTCATAAGTATACACTACTTACACTCACCCATATATCACTCTAAATGAAACCTCACCAGTCATGTCAGCCCTGAGGACTGCTCAGCAGTCCCACAGACTGTCAAACACTAATCACAGAAAGACATTGCAATAGTACACATGTAAAGACAAGTGTAATATCAAAATTACATATAGTAATGAATAAAAGTACATATGTAATCACAAAAGTAAAATAATATTACAGTAGATTACTCTAGAGTAATAACTGTAATATATATGTAATAATAGCTAAGCACAACTCAGGCTCAGTATCAAGAGCCACAGGTAAACTTTCAGCACTGAGGACAGCTCAGCAGTCCCTAAGGCTATTAATCACAAGAGTACATATGCTAAATGAGTGTAAGAAAGAGTAAACATCTGTGTAATGAGTAAACTCCATACCTACACTTAAGTGATAATGGCAATATATAGG